ACCAGCACAGTCTCTCTCTCTCCCTTTAGAAACATGTCCACTAAAGACCAACACACTCTCTCTCCCTTTAGAAACATGTCCACTAAAGACCAGCAGTCTCTCTCTCTCTCCCTCTAGAAACAAGTGAATCCTGGAACAGGGAGAGGGCAGTAGAAAGCGAGAGGCACAGCGAGGAAGAGGTCCTGACGTGCAGGAGTGCACACAGTAGCAGCAGTCTTGCAGTTTTCAGTCAGGTATTTCTCCCTGGGTCTCTTCACTGAATGAGGAATATATACTGTTTATTATATATATATATGATGTAACACGTCTGTCTGCTTCGCAAAGTAGAGCACATCATCGAGAAATAAAGAAAAATCACAAAGCATGATGGGGCAGCGTCGCTGCGGGCACGGCCAACATCGTCATCCTGTGCAAAGTCACAAAACCTCATTAAAACCGCATCTCGCAAACAGAGATGGCTGCTATAAAAAAAAAGACTTTATATATCCGTCTGGTATATATATACACACTTCTTGTACGTACATACCAGAAATTTCAAGACAAAATAAAAAATAAAACCAATTACAGAACATCGCTAGAAACAATAATGATAATAGTTACAACAATAGTAATAATAATAACAATAATAATAATAATCTTCATCATCGTAATAATAATAATCCAAAGATTTCACACTGCAACCACACACATCGTCAGGCTCTCATGTACAATCAATGTTCGAGAATATCTATATATAATATATGTATAGTTATATATATTGTTCAGCAGTAAGAAGTCATTTTCTCAATCTTAATATTAATATTAATAATCATTGTAGTAACACTGATATACCAGCAAAAAATAGACTCAGGTCTCCAAAAAGAAAATAAGTTTAGAAACACCTGTATCTAATGCATATCAATCTCTGAACCCTGTAATACAGCAATTCCCTGCCCCCACATCCCCTGCTTTGAAAGAATGAAACATGAAGGAACTGGCCTGATTCTTCCACTGGGGTTAAAGCAGCAGCGCATACCGGCCCCAGCCAGCCCTTCTCCAGAAAGCACTGTAACCTCTGGCCGTTCCCACAGTTCCCCCTGCATTCCTCGCTCGTCTGACTTTCTTCCTCACCATGCCTTCCCAAAACGCCCCAACCCTCCCCCGTCAACACTGACCAGAACCGAGCTCTGCCACCCCAGCGGACCCACACCATGACAAGGGATGGCATCAGAGTAGTCGGGGACGGCAGAGGGCACGGGCCGAATGGGCTCACCCCACACACTGGAAGGTTAACCAGTGTGAAAGGCGGAAAAGGCCATGGCAAAGGTTCGAGGATACCCTGACGGTTCACTGCTCTGGTTCTGCTGCCTTTCTGCAGGAGTGTCTGCGTGGTTCCTGCTCAGGCCCCAGACAGCCCTGCCACCCCAGACTCTCGCTGGGCTCGAGGGCTCTCTCTCCGAGGCTCCTTTCACTTCGGAGGCCTGGTATTGCCTGCTTTGGGCTGGAGGGTGGGAAAGGGGTAGATTCTCAAGCTTTTGCTTTCAACAGGGACGGGCTATAATAGCTAACAGAACCTCAATTACTTTGGTCAGGGAGTTGAGAACAAAGCTAATGACTCATAATGAGGGTGTTGATCTCCTGAATTACGTCTCTTGGTCTTAAATGCTGGAATGATTTCCTGAGGACCCAAGGCAGTGGGAAGCTGTTTGCAGGAGGCGGCGGAGGTCTGATGCACGCCTGGGTTTGGGGGCGGAACTGGACAAACTCTAACGACCAGGAAATTTGGACCACATTCTCCCAGACCACCCAATTTTTCCAAATCCTGAAGCTGCACGGCTTGACTTCCGAGGCCCTGGGCTGGACAGGAAATAAACGCAGCGTTGCCCGAACGGTGAGCTAGGAAAATGAATCTTTGTCTGCTCCGCTCTGGACAAGGTCTTTGGCCAACTGTGAGAAGGGCCATCCTCCCATGCAGGAGCACAGGGCTGGGCAACTGAAGTGCGGCTCACAGGAAGGGAACAGTAAGATTTCTCTGGCAGCCTTGGGCTTGGAGGAATGGCTGCACTACCTTCGTCATAAGCCATGAGGCCTGCAGTGGCACACTGCTCTTTTCTAAACCTGGAAAATGCCATTTCCAGATATAAAAAAACCTAGGGCCGTCAAATCCTTGTTTGTGATTCTTTAGGTGCACATCGTTCAGAGCCAGGCCTGTAATTGTAGCACCCATCAGGTCTGACTTATACCACAATTCCAGGGCAAAGGAGAACTTCGTCTGAGCACAAAAATTTAGAGAAGTAGCTAATCAAGCACCGCAAGCTGGAGCAGGTAAAAGACTGAAGCAGCAGGCTGAGACCCTCACTTTGTCTTGCCAACAGCAGCAAACAGATCGTTTAATCAATCCCCCATCAGTCAGTTAACAAGCTCCTAAAAGGGAGACTCAGAACATGATGAGAGAATTGAAGGTGAAGGTGGAAGAGGCGCTAGTGTCCCACACAGCCTTTCAGTGTTTTCCTGTGCACAGCAACAATAGGTGACCTCTAACGCTCTTCCTGTCCATCTGCTTTGTGAAGCAGGAACAGCTTCAGGAAAAAAAGAGAGGATTGCCGGTAATGACCATGTCAGCAGGGCACACTGGACATGTGGCTGATGTGCTGGCACACGGGAATGCTGACCAGCAGGGGAAGAGTAAAAGAGGGGATTGTGTTTAGTCCAGTCCATCTGAGTGCATCAGTAACCGTGTCAACCCTGCATCTACGTTTAATTAAAAAAATCTTTTTCAGCTCCTACAATGTGCAGATATAACTCCGATCTGCCTTTAAAATGTTATAGGCAAGAATAAAGGTCCAGTTATAGTCTACTTCAGGAACTTTCACCATCAGTGGGTAAAGGCTTGATAAAGTGATCGGGAGTTCAGCTGGAAAGACAGCTAGCAGACGATGGATCACAGGGACTCTGATGGAGACATCCTTTTTTCAAGGACACCACTGAAAGTTATCAGTGTGTACACTCCCTCAGCACAGCAACATTAACTCACCCCAGACACTAACTGGAGTATTAATACTGCTACAAAGGACAAAAGAAGGACTCCCACCCTTCTGGGCTGTTCAAGGCTTTTCTGGGAGATGCTGGCTTGTGCATTGTACCAGTAAAGCAAAAAAAAAAACTCATTCCACAGGTCTGGCTATGTAAATTTACTAACAGTAAGGTAAAAAGTTGTACATGTGCCTGCAGCTTGTGACTAAAACCATGGCATATTAAACTTTAAGCAACACAAGTCTTAGAACCAGCCCTTTCAAAGGATTAGGAAACCTGCTGTAGAGGTACACCATCAGAGCTCACCAGACTCTGGTTAAAGGGCTAGTAACTTACATGATTAAAACTAAAATGAACTTACTACAGGCCAAACCCAGTTTCTCAGAACAGATTGATTCACTTGGGGGGGGAACAAAAATACAGAAAAGTTTGTTTTTTTTATTTCTAAAAAACCGGGAGCACAAAGAATAAGTCCCCTCCCTGGGATCCAGGCCCTGAACACGGTGTTTGAAAAAGCAATGCAAAGTATTTTAAAAGTATTGTAATGAAGCACTGACTGGATCATAAACAGGGATAGTTGGTGATGGGCCACTATGAGGGAAATGCCCACGCAAGCAGCGCAGTGTTGAGGCCATTCATCAGCACTGCAAATGGAGCAGCCTGGGGCAACCGGGAAGTGCACAGACACCCCTCACTGCTTGTTCACAAAAGCACTCCTGGGAAAGTCCTAGGTAGGCCCACATGGTAAATGCGCATGTTCACTGTGGTTCACCCTTCTGATTGTACCTTACTTTCCTATGACTCTGTGTTTTCACGGTGCTTTCCCACACCGGACTACAACACTGTAATTAACCCTTATAAATGCCGGTCACACCTATGTGACTCTGCTGTTGTAGGCATTCAACACAGCAAAGTCACGGTGTTATCAAAATCCGGGGGAGCAGAGTGAAAATCAAGATAAATGGGGACATCTGAACAGTGTAAAATTACAATGGCAAACGTTCATAAGGGTGAAGCACAGCAGCCAAACCTCACATTCAAGTGTTGTGCACAGAGCAGAGCAGACACATAGCAGCAAAAACACTGTGCAGTAATAATCTTCATAACTCGAAAAGCATAAATTCATTAAGGTAAATAAAACATGATCTTCTGCATTATTTATACAGATTTTTAAATAAAAGCACTTCTGGTCCCTCAGGGCTTCTCACCTGTACTGCCGCCCCTCTGTGCACAGCAATCTGGGATATTCTCCCACAGATATCCCCGCACAATGAGGATATTCTCCTTCAGTGAAACTGGGAGAAGTGGGGCAGAGAGAAAGGAGATTGGCTGTGATCTTCAGATTGGCTATGCTCTGTTCTTTCTGCTCTCTGCGTTTGTGTCTTTGAAGCGTCTCAGTCTGTCTGTCTGCAGAGACAGAGTCTGTAGGTCTGTTTGTTCGCTGGTTAGTTCCCTGTTTGTGTCTGTCCGATGGCTTTGTCTATGGGTCTGTGTGTTTTTCAAGCGTTTGCCAATTCCTTCAGTGTGTGAGCAGCCTCTGCACCCTGCCAAAAACTTCCAACTGTCAGTCTTTCTGCGTCAGGGATGAGAGGAGGCCTCCAACAGACCCTAAAGAGGCTCACTGCTCCCTTAGACTCATTCAATAGGCAAGGTGTTCAATCCCTCTCTCAAGCATTGACATCTAAAAGAGCAGGCGCGCCTCAGATCCTCGTGTCTGACTGTGCACGTATAGGGTTTCTCTGTGTGTCTGTCCATATTGCTGGGATCCGTCTCTGACTGCTCGCACGTGCGCCCGTCAGTCAGTGTGTGATTGTCGTCTTTGTGGCTCAGTGGTGTATCTGCCTCAGCACCAGCCCTCCCGCCTCAGGTACGCTCAGGGCAAGCGGGTCTGGCCATGTGCGTCGTCTGGTGTGCGGAACAGCCCCGTTCCCTTCGCTGGCTGCCGCACGGTCCCTCGCAGCAACAGCGAGGAAAACCAGAAAAACCCCTTCGCTTCGCTTTTCTCCTTTTGCGTCCTTTTTCTTCCCAAAGTCTGTAAACTCCTCTTTGTCCATTTTTTGGTCCTTATAATAATAAAGAAAGAGGGAGAGAAGTCGCTTCCCCTCGGTGGACAGTCCAAAACTCGGTTAAAGTAAGTTTTTCTCTCTCTCCCTCCTCTGCATGTCTCTCAGGGGTAGTGAAGAGAGGAGTCCTTGTTCTCTGTCCTTATCGCTCTCAATACTGGTCTGTCCTCCGCGCTTGGAGCTCCAGGTTTGGCACAATGTTTGATACAAATGTTTGTGTGGTATCCTTCACCCTCCCCATGCTTAAACAGGTAAAGAAGCAAAAATAATTAGCACTGACCACTAGCAGCAAAACTGACTCCTCCATCAGCTGCATCTATTCTGCCTCTTAGTGCCTCCCTCCCTCAGCTCTAACCATTGGCCCACACTGCCTCATTTTATACTCAAGAAGGTCTTACCACCTGCACATAGTGCTTCCCTCCTTCGCACTTTTTTTCCCACAAACCTATAATTGCACACTGTCCACTGAAGTACTGTAAATACCCTGTATGTACTCTACACTTAGTGCACCTAGACAAACTGAAGGTCACTAGGTTTGTAGAGAGCGCAAGAGGCACTGCAGCTGACCACATGCATCACCTGTTTTCCAGACCCCTTTTGTGGTCTGCAGAGCAGTTCGGCCATCATGCACTGAAATGCTGCCGCTTGCACACTGCCCCCCCGCTGCACCATTCTGCAATGGCGACTCCTACTTCGCCTCGACATGTCTCCGTGCTGAGCCCTCAACACCTCCAGCAGATCTGCCGGCCAACGTGAGTGTGTGCTCCGAGCTGACTACAGTGACAGCGACTTCATCCGCTGAGAGCAGGGCTCCCAGGACGTCCGTTTCGCAGGACTTTTGACGGTGACCGCTGCCAACATCTGCTGGGAGAGCGATGCCTGTACACGGCTAGTTCTCCACCTGCGTGCGTCTCTTTCTCAGCCTCTGTCCCTCTGTATAGCAGCCAGGCTCTGAGAGTCTGTCTGTGGGCGTGTGTCTGGGATGCCGGGGGCCTGGCTCTACACCTGGGGGAAGCGGATGTGAAAGTAGCAGAGCCTCAGCAAGCTGCGGCGCTTCCTCCCGGCGCTGTGGCAGAGCTGGGAATGGCCCCTCCGAACTCGGCCTCCTCCCGAAGGGGCTTCCTCCGCCCTGACCAGCGACCCCAAGCCTCCTCCCCCCGGCCCCACCAGCCTGCCTCTCCGACCCCCCCGGCTCCAGCTCCGCACCCCCCTCACACCACAGTGCTGATGCGGTTGATAGGTTTGGACTTGGAGCTGCCCCCTGTGCCGGTGCCCCCACCCCCTACCCCGACCGCCTGCCCGCCCTGGGGCCCCCCTGGCTGGGGCTGCCCTGGGTGT